ATAAAAATTGTTTAAGAGAGATTAGGACTATGATCTTATCCATTATGTCCCCACCTAAATTTTCCACTCCAATGAGGTGCCTTTGTCATCCAAATTTAAAATGTGCGTTAGATTCTTCCATGAGTATGTGCAGGCAAGAATTTATGCACAAAAATAATTGGATCTTACCTTTTTTTTTTATTTAAAGAAATGTTTTTTTAATTTTTTTTCCCTCATTTATTGCTTTTGCAGACTTTAATGTCAGGACCAACATCACGCTAATTTAGCCCTTGTTTGATCTCAATACTTTCAAAAAATATTTTTCTCTTTTTTATTTTCAATGATACATTTTTCAATAAAATAATATTATTTGTAAATTCAAAATTTTTATTTATTTTTCAACCACACATTTTCATCAATTTACTGTTCCAAATGCATTCTTAAGAAAAAGATGGGTTCAAGCAAGCTTTTAGCCCATATTTGATCCACATTTTTTTCAAAATATATTTTTTTTCTTTTATTTTTAATCACACATTGTTCAATATAATAATATTATATACAAATAAATTTTTTCCCTATTTCTTAATTATACATTCTCTATTAATTTTTTTTTTCAAAATATATTCTGCTCGTAAAATGAGGTTCACGTATCGTGGGTACCATTATTTGTTTTAAGTACGTATATAGTGGAGTACTTATCCGCAGGACCGCAGCTTTTACTATAAGACCTTTGTAGATACAGTTTTCACTTATAATTTCTCTCTCTTCCTCCTTCTTTCTGTCAAGTGTCAACCATCAAAACCCACTGGTTTTTATTAGACTCTGAAGCCTTTCCTTCATTTTCGTTGTAAATGCAAGAAAAAACAGCCATATTTCTAGAATTCTCCAATTCCAAATCCAGGTTTTTCTCCTCTCTCTATATGTATATGTGTATAAATTTTTTTGTGTTCAATTTTGCTTTTCTCTAAAGGAAAATGTGCCCACCCACAGAATACCTTTTACTTGCCTTTTTTTTTTGTTTGGATTTTTGATATATATATTTTTTTTGAAATGGAGAAATAAGAATTGGGTTTTCAAGAAAAGAAGTTCCCATGAAAGAATTTTTCACAATTTTTTTTTTCTGCAAGCTTACATAGTGTTTTTTTAACTTACTGCAAGCCTTGTTTAAATCAACTTAAAGTTCATAAGTATTTGGATAATTTGTTAATGGAGTTCATAAGAATTTATCTGACTTGCATGTTAATTTGAATTTTGATTTTAGTTTGTTCACAACTGATTTTGTAGCAGAGGAAATATTACATTTTTCACACATTTGAAGGAGTGATTTTGGCAGATTTACAATGTTTTAAGATTCATATACTGTTTCTCTTTTCAATTTTTTTATGCTAATAATTATTTAATCAAACTGAGGGTATGGTGTGGGGTGGGGGGAGGGGAGGGGAGGGGTGAAGAAAGGAAAATAACTTCATCTGTTGAATAATTTGATGTACAGTTTTGAGTTGAGATTCCTGCCTTTTTTTCTTTTATTGCATTAACCACTTCGTTGACTGAGTCACCTTTGTTCATATTAATAATAGTCATTAGTTGTAATCAGACCCCACTACAAGAACAATTACTTATTAATTCATTCCAACAATTTGTACTAGTTAAGGTAATGCTGTTGTTAGTCATTGGCTTATAATTATCCTTTTTATCAATAATTTTGTTTTCCTGAGCATAATAATGGTCTTGGTCGTCCCTAAGTCGCTGTACATGCCTTTTTGATAGATTGGTGAGGGTTTCTGCAAGAGAAGTTTTACTTAGTGTTGGAAAAATGGCTTTGTTGAGCTTACTTTTGGCACAATTTTAGGTGGGACTCATTGGTTCAATTTGGAAGATCAAAGTTGTTTTGTGTTCTCCTTTGTGTGAACATTAAAATCATATATTTACTTGTCAAAAATGATAAACGGGTGAATGAGAAATTGGAATTCAAAGTGGACCAATGGAAGATGGTTTATGTTGGAGGGAAAACTATATTTAAGTTTATGCCACGTAGGAAGTTGATGAAAATAAGGACCACTTTATATATGGTTGCATTTTGGAAGGTTGTGTAATCGTGTATAACATAGAGGCTCTCTTTATGTGCGCGCTCAGGGGTGTAAATCAATGACCAAAAATTGTACATCGAGCCTTGAACTCGTGTGCAGGCGCGACCTACGTATATGAATGTCAGGTCGAACGGAGTAAAAATTGACTCCTTAGGAGTTTCCACGTTTTGCTAATTTTTGCTTTCTCCAACTGACTTTTTAGCTTCTGAAACTATTGAAATTTCAATGGTTATTACCATTATAGTATTGAGTTAATGGACATATTTACTCACAATTCATGGGGGCCAAGTTAATAATTGAGTTTGTTTTTTCATTATTCAACACCAGAAGAAAAATTATATACTCTTTTGCATAATTTACGGTTCTCTTCTGCACAATTTCCAGTTTCAGTTCTTAGAAAATTTTCATTTTCTTCTAAGTCTCGCTGGTGCTGTTCTGACACAAATTCATTTTGCTGGAGGAAATTGAAGTACTCATATTCTACCGGTTCTCCCCGTTTAATATATCCAGTGGTCATTAAAGGATATAGTGATGCTAATTGGATATCTAATATAAAAGACTTAAAGATCACTAGTGGATTTGTGTTCACATTGGGAGGTGCAACTATATCCTGAAAATCATTTAAACAAATAGTTATAGCCAGATCTATCATGGAATTTGAGTTTATAGCTCTAGATAGTCAAAACCCGTGCTAGCATTTGCATACATTGTGATAGTCAATCAGCAATTGGAATGACACAGAGTAAGATGTACAATGGTAAATCTAGACATAGTCGTCGTAGATACAATACCATAAGGCAACTACTCTCAACTGGAGTAGAGTTATCTCTATCGACCATGTAAGGTCAAATAATAACATTGTGGATTCGCTTACCAAAAGGTTAAATAGAGAGTTAGTTGGAAAATCATCGAAAAAAATGAGACTTGAGCCCTCGAACGAATAAGTTAATATAAAGGAAAACCAATCTATTTGACTGGAGATCCTAAGATCTAGGTTTAAATGGACAATTTAATTGTCAAGACTTAATTGAATCACTGTAGGGGATGTTATCTCCTGTCTATTCCTATAATGCAATAATGATGCCCGTAAGGATGAAATATAAGCAATAGGATTTTAATGATTCTTATGCGTCGAAAATCAAGCGAAGTAATGCGAGTTACTTGCAATAAGAAATTATCTATATGATAGAGAAGTTGGACCACTTATAAGAGAATTATGTGGGGCTCAATTCTTAAGAACTATCGCAAAATCAGGCGTATGTTCATGGCAAAAAACGAACATAATAATAAGAATTGAATTGTGTTCAGAAGAATCATGTGTGGAGTATATTTTCGTTGATGTAAACGGCAGAACAGTTCAAAGACAGCGCCACGTCTAGCGGTCGGCTAGTAAAGTAAATATGTTTTCACAAGGAAAGGTTCAAAGGTAATACCTACCTATCATAAGCAAGTTTCAACCGTTGAACTATATCGCCAAATCTTTATGTCTCACATTTCTGTGTCACTCCCAATTTTCATTCATGTGCGGGATTGTTGGAAAAATGGTTTTGTTGAGCTTACATTTGGCACAATTTTCGTTGGGACCCGTTAGTTCAATTTGGAAGATCAAAGTTGATTAGTGTTCTCCTCTGTGAGAATATTGAAATCATATATTTACCTGTCAAAAATAATAAGCGGGTGAATGAGAAATTGGAGTTCAAAGTGGATCATTGGAAGATGGTTTATGTTGGAGGGAAAAATATATTTAAGTTTATTCCACATAGGAAGTTGATAAAAGTAAGAACCACTTTTTATATGGTTACACTTTGGGTGTAACCATGTGTAGGATAAAGAATTTCCAAGTGCCCGCGCATGGGGGTACAAATCAAGGACCAAAAATTGTACATCGAGCTTTGAACTTGTGTGCGGGCGCGACCTGTGTACATGAATGTCGGACCGAACGGAGCGAAAATTGGCACCTTAGGAGTTTCCACGTTTTGCTAACTTTTGTTTTCTCCAACTAACTTTTTAGTCTCTACAACTGTTGAAAAAATTACATATTCTTCTGCGTAATTTACAGTTCTCTCCTGCATAATTTCCAGTTCTAGTTCTTAGAAAATTTTCATTTTCGTTTTAAGTCTTAGTGGTGTATACATTCATTTCACCAGAGTAGAAATTGAAATGCTTAGATTCTACCGGTTCTTCCTGTTGTATCTTGGGGGACGTCCATTTTACCGGTTCTTTCGTTGTATCTTGGGAGACGGACGTTCGAATTAAACCTCAAGCACCTACGGTGAGAGGACAAATCTGTTTTAAAGAAACTGTATACACACAGGCCTCGATTTGCAAATTTATAGTATTTTCAGCACTTAATATATTTCTGCAGTTTTCATTCTCCGTTTGTTTATGTTCTTACTATAATAAATCAAATTTATATTATTCTATATTCTTGTAACACTTAAGAACTCTTTATTAACAAGCTTTATATTTCAGTATCGTCTTGAGGTATCTGGAGTCGTGAAGAGGCGCGAGGTGTACGCTACTTTGCAGTATTATCATTGCATTTCCAGGTCATCTCGTCTTCGCTTTTAGTAACTAATGATGATGCTTCAATTTCGTAGTATAATTCACTAAATGAGTACTTTCTGTTGCTTGTTCTTTTATGGATAATGTACCACTTGCATCATTTCATTTTTATTTAATTATATGTGGATATATATCTTCTGCATATCGCTCTAAAAAATACTTGAATATATATGATCGCTGTACTTGAATGTATCAAGATTCTATGGATATTGCATAGTTTCAATTTAAGAGGTGACTTATTCTAAATTCTGATGGTTGAATTTTCTCTTTCCTCTTTTCTTTTCTCTTTCGTCACAGGCCATAATGCAGGAAACCTTAGCCGAGAAGTCTCATTTAGTCATTTTACTTAACCTATGCGACGCTGCTGATATGTCTACTCTTGTTGATGTTATTGCTGGATTAACCTCCTTTGAGGTTGATGCAACCCTTGTAATTAGGAAATCTCCCCATGCACTGAACCAAGAACTCGTTTCCTCTTTGACGCTTGCGTTCAATTCAAAACTCCTAGTTGTTGACCTTCGGGATTTGTCATTTAGGAAGGATATAGTTTGGTATGCACTATTACTTTACCTTTCCAAGCTGTTATATCATCACCATCCTCTTCTTGCTTTATCGTCTCAATTTAACAATGAATGTGTAAAGTTGTGGGAAGTATATTATTTTCCGCTCTCTGTTTGCAATAAGCTACAAAGACGACTTTTATAAAGAGAAATGTTCTCATCTATTTGATGATAGCGAACCCCACAGCAATACATGTTTTTATTTTTCATTTTCCAGGGATCTTGTCCGGGGTTTGAATTGCCAATTACTAAACCTTAGGAGCTCAGGGATCAAAAAACTGGATATGATAGGAGAACTCACGCAGTTGCACACTCTTAATTTGGACTCCTGTTCTTCTCTCACCAACCTGGAGGAAGAATGTTTTCCTTTCATGCCAAAACTGAGACACCTCTCATTGTGCGGTACAAGAGTTATTAATCTTGGGACAAGTACAAATAGTGCCATTTTATCCAGACTTTCCTCATTGGTAGAGCTCCAGTTTCATAATTGCATATCCCAGAAAGACATGTGGTCATCTCCTGCACTAATCAATGAGAGAAGATATATTACCTCGGTTAAAATCGGTGAGCCAATTAACGGCCGTCATTTCACCGAACAAACTACCGGTGCGGATGAGTCTCTCCAACTTTCTCCTGGTGGTTCATTTACTATTAAAGAGGCTCAAAGCATATTTCAGGGGACTTCAGTTAAGAAATTAGATAAGCCACTCGTTTCAGTTCCCTGTCCTGTTTTGAATAGACAGGAAAATCTGAAAATCGAGGTTGGAAACGAGCTTTATAACACTTCGTATGGCTAAATACCAAAATCCTTGCTGCTTTCTGTTATTGATGGGTAACTTTTCCATGTGTTAGGTCTCTCCAGGGCATTTGGATGTTCAAGAGAAAGACGAGTCTCCAACAAGTGTACTTCAATGGGATTCAACTGATTCCGAATTACATATCTCTAATCATCCATTGAAGGTTGACTTTGAGAAAAGAAACAGTAAGAGCATGATTGAACCAATGCCTTGTTCAGAAAATATGGATAATTTTCCCGTAAAAGCAGTAGACAGAGAAGTGGAGAAGACTTCCTTCTCAAAATACTATGAGTACTTACCATATAAGCGCCAACACAAGGAGAGCATTGCCAGCATCTTGCATATGCGGGAAGCAGGAATAAGTGGAACGTATCCTCACAATCCTTTAAGAACAAAACTGATGTCGCCTTGTAGAAAGAGTCAGTATTTCTATACTAGGTCGCTGTGTGCCACCAAATTTGATTCATCTGTGCATCCACTTTTACATACCATCACTAATGTCAGCCAGAAAAACAAAGAAGGAAAGAGGTTCCGTCCAAGGCAGTTCGAGTATCATCCTTCCAACTCTAGTCTTATGGCGGTTGGAACTCTTGATGGAGAAGTGGTTCTCCTCAATCCTGAGACCCGAAATATTATCAATCATATTTCGCCCAAGTGGAACTCTAACGGTATTTTGGGGCTCTGTTGGCTCAAAAATAACCCTTCCAAGGTATGTCTTAGCTCAGGAACTAGATAACCTTATTGGCTGTTTTATTCAATCATAGATTAGCTGTTTTATTCAATCGCTAAATCTATGATACATCCTTGGTTTGTGTTTTATAAATGATATCATTGCATCTATGGGGGTCCATTTATATGATTTTTGTTTTCTATTTCAAAGCCTACGAACTTCTTTTTGTCCATTCATATTTTTATCAGGTGATTGCTGATAGTTTATACTGTTTTTGTAATACTAGCTCCTTGTGGGCTCCGACAATGGTTCCTTGAGATTGTACGACATCAATCATCTCCCACAAGAATTCGAAGATGGCTATTTCAATTCCAGTACGGTTATATTTGAAGATTTTGAGCATTTGACTTCGGTTCATGTTAATTCAACGGATGATCAATTTCTAACAAGCGGATATTCCAAGAAAGTTGCCATATACGATATTTGCAGCGGAAAACGTGTACAACTGTTCACGGATATGCATCGGGAACCAATAAATGTTGCTAAATTTGCAAATCATTCCCCTAATCTGCTGGTTACTTCATCATTTGACCGAGATGTGAAGATGTGGGATTTAAGACAGAAACCCATTAAACCTTGCTATACAGCAACGAGCTCAAGAGGAAACGTGATGGTCTGCTTCTCTCACGATGATCTTTATCTACTTGTTTCTTCTGTAGATAATGAGGTAATACTTCCGTGACTACAGATTCTTTTACCTATTGTGAACTGGCAAAGTTTGAAAAATAAATAAATAAATAAAATTACTCGCATTTTTAATGACTTAAAGATCAAGGCTAGTTATCAAGATGATGTCGCTTTCCAGGTCAGACAACTTTTAGCTGTGGATGGGAAGCTTCACACAAAATTTGATATAGTTTCAACAGGCAGCTATAATAACTACACTCGTTCTTATTACATGAATGGGAGAGACTACATCATTAGCGGAAGTTGTGAAGAACCAGTTGTCCGTGTTTGCTGTGCCCAAACCGGAAGGCTACTAAGAGACATTTATTTGGAGGTAGATTCACTATTCTTTGAACAACATTGTAATTCGAAATCTGCCTAAGTAGATTTTAGCAGAATTCTTTGTATAAAGCTGTTATGAAGAAGTTGGTCAATTTGTTCCTTTCCAGGATGATGGCTCGGCAAGCTCAATTTTTGTGCAATCCTTGAGAAGTGATCCCTTTAGAGTATGTTCTTTTCACTAATAGGGCTCAAAATTTAAGCCAAAAATACAAGAGACGAGAAGAAGTTGAAATTAACAGTGTACTTTCATATGAAAATTGTTGTTACCTTTTATAATCTGACATACAAGATATTGACATTATCTTTAACAAAAACAGCATTTTCACTTGGCCGTCCTAGCTGCATATGTTCGACCGAGCCGGCATTGGGAGATTATTAATGTAACTTTTTGAACCTTATTTATCTTCATGTTATTTAATGTTCGACATTCATTATAGGACAGCTATTTAAACGAAGTGTTCATGCAGGTCAACTTACTTTCGTCAAGCCACCTTGATGAAGAATACCCCTAAGGAGGATCTATATTTCCCATCATATGTACGTGCTGAAGTCTCTACGCAATTCGATTAATTTTGATTTTATTGGTTCTTTGTTATATTTACATCAGCTTACATTGGTTTGGAAATTCCACTGTTGATATCGCCAAAAATCTACTTTTAGTAATCAGTGGTTGAACATTGGATCCAACAAATTCCTATAATAAAAAAACTAAGGTAGAGATCCTTCGTAATGAATGGATATTTTTTACGTACAGCCATCAGATCATAATCATTTAATGAGTCTACCTTCTTTAACAAAGCTGAAGCTCTTTATTGCTTGTTAATATGTGCTTAAAAGTAACTTTTCGTTTTTAGATATTTTTGCTTAACCTTGCGAGTTGCAGTTTGTGTTTTAGTCTCGTCTTAGGTTGGTCTATCTCCCTCTTCTAGATTGGAAATATCAGCAAAGAAACATCTTAAATGTATCACTTTATTAATCTTATACCGATTATCGAGTTGATCATATCAGAATGTCTATATTCCTCCATATATTCCGCACACGTCCTCTCAGTGAAAAAGTAATTGAGAGTGGCTTCAATGTGGGTATTGGCTGTAAGAATTTTATTTTATTTTTTAATAGAAAGGGATCAAAGGATTTCATCACTCCTCCCCAAATAAACTGTTCTATTGATTAATGGCATGTTCTTGCAGCGCACTGCAGTGCTAGGCGTGCGAAGGCATGAGGGAAGATGTTGCTCTGCGTACCGTGGCATGAGCTTTCTGAAGTGCCACGGGATTTACTAAATTAAATCTATGGAATGGGAAAGAGTGAGTGTCCCCATGTTACAAAGATACAGTGAAGAGATGAATGTAAATTTTACTAAAAGTCATTTCCAATGGGTATTGCGTTTCACTTGTTATCTGCCCTCTTTGCTGAAGAAAGAATAATCTTTCAAGGTGACGACTTCGATTTTCTTAATAAGTTCTGCCTAGTACTCCTCGAATGAGCGAGGGAATGTCTCAACTGTTCACTCTGTATGGTCTACTGTAAGATTTACTCGAAGAACAAAATCAGAGCTCCGAATGCACATGTGAAAATAGCAATCATCCAAATGTGCACAAGCACAAACCTGCAAGAGAGGAAATTGCAGCTTTGACTGATGCTCCAAATGGATTAAAGATGATACAATTACTCGTACCTCAGCTTTGTCGTTCCAAAATTAACACTTCAAATCTAGGGATTCGACTGTAAACTGTAACACTGAGCATGTAACAAAAATGATATTTTTCTTTGTCTTTCGAGAAGAAAGCACAAACTCTTGAGATCCGGCTACCAAATCCCTTAAGTAAGAAAAGCCATAATGAAATGAAGTAGCTTTAAATTTGTACAAAAAATTCACCTAACTGAAAGAGATTAGAGAGCTAGAATCAAATCTCAACCCAAAGGCTCAAAGAAGATTAAAATAATAATAAAGAATAGGTGTGCGCTTGAGTAATAACCTAATAGCATGTTTAATACGCAATCCAGCACAATAGATAATATTTTAATTTTGTCTTTCTTCCTCAATACCATCTAGTACTATCCAACCCACCTTACCGAACACCTTACCGAACACGCCCTTGAGTGGTTTTACTCCAAGAAATCATATTCTTGTTTTGACTGTGTGTTCTTGAGCCATAAGCTTCCTCAGTTATTCTGATCATCATGTTGCTTTTTTAATCTTTTATTATCGTTTTCGACTCTATCTTTCTCATTTCCACGTTCTCTTTCCTTAGCTTGTTTCTCCATATTGTTTCCGTCCTTGTCCTTATCTTCCATGTGCATGCTTTCTCGTTCACGACCTCTATCCAATTCCTTTGCCCCAGCCTCCTGTTGGTTTTTCTTCCTGTCCTTCATAATTTTATGCAGTTCGTTAACATCTTTTCTGATGAGATCCAAAGGTTGCAGTAATGAGAAGTCTTCATCCTCATCAACGTCAGCCTGATCATAATGAAATAAACATTGATCAACTTACATCCTTCCCTTCATTAAAAAGAAAATCAGATGAAGGCAAATGAAAATTATTGCTTATATATGGATAAACTTTCAGCAGGAATATGCATATTCTAACATTGGTCAAATTTGCTTCCATCTCCATGTATTGAACTCCTTTCTGCACGAATTTGACTAAAGCTTCAGGTGGAACCAAATTGCCATCCATAGGGCTCTTGCTAATACCAGCCTCGTAGCCAAAAGCAAAAGCTGTGTGGGCAAAACCTGACAGTTCAATGCCCAACAACATGTTACATTAACATATTGATAAATTGATTGATATGAATGTACAGAGGAAGACTTTCGCTTTCCTCAGAAGCCCTTCTCTTAAAATTTGAAAAGAAAGTTTAAAAATAGAAAGAAACAAGGAACCAATACCCATGGACAAAAAAGGAGCAGCCACCTTATAAATTCCTGGCGGCTATGCCATTTCCATGTTGACAGAAGACAAACTTGACACCTTATACAAGTCTCAAGCATTAAGCTATGACAACAATCGACGAACAAGACAACAAAAGTTTCATTTCATTTTTCACTTATAGTATATATTTTTTATAACATTGCATTAATTTTACTTTTTATCCACTGTCAAATTATGTAGAAGAGCTAGCTTATTCATTTTATAAATAGAATATCCATTTTATATTTTTTGTAAATTATACCCAAATTTTTTATATGTGCCACCCACGTTCTAATCTTTAAAACTTTATTTTTTCACACATGGAAATGTTTCTAGGAGGGTTTTCTGTTATTAATCCATTTTCAAGACATCACAATCTGCTTTCATAGAAAAACATACCTATTCATTTTGCAGTCACCTTAAATGAATTAACTGAAAAGAAAATAAACAAACAATCAAGAACATGCATGATTTATGGAGGTCGCCTCAATGTGATTCAACCATATCTCCTCTAACCTATCTTTCGCTCTATTTGACGATAATACATCAAGTCTAAGGATTACTCTCGATTTATTATTTATAATATAAACTAGAGCAAAACCGAATTTTAAAGGACTCCTATTCCTTCGTAGAATTTTACAAAAATACAAATTCCTAAGCAATCCTTAACTAAAAGTTTCATCTGAGGGCTCTGCCCGCCCCAACCCTCTCGGGCCACCTGCCCCCTCATAACCCCCGCGGTGACCTCACCACGAAGGTCGATCCACGACCAACTCCGAGAAGTGGCAATAATTAGGGCTCAATAATAACAAGGCTCCACAAATTAACATAAACAAAACTGAATTCATAATCCCATTGTTTCGCTGTTTTTTTTACCATGAACCCTAGGTTACGAGTAACTTTTTCCCCAAAATTAGCAACATACACTCCTTTTCATCATCCGCACATAACAAACTCCAGATAAAAACATTGAATTAACCAAGAATTACGGGTAAAGTTCGACCGGCACTCTCCTCTCTCGTTGTTGATGCAAAAACAGTACTCCGAAAACATAACATTCATTTAACATAAAAAAGGAAAAAACCTAATAAGACGCAAACCGTTTTTATCAAATCCTGATATAGAGAGAGAAAAAACAGAGGAAGAGTACCTGATTCCTGGAGATAACGAAAAACGAGGTAATTCAACTCCACAGAACTCATCGACGCCATGTTTTTCTTGGGAAGAAAATATAAAATTAATTTATCACGCGAGTGGATAATTTCTAAAACCCAATTTTTGAGCTCCCCCTCGTTTATATCTCTGCAATCAGGTTGTGATTCTGTAAACACAATTAGGGTAATGTTCGATTAGAACTTGGATAGATACAACCGTTTGATGCATCGTTGAACCCGAAGAATTTGTTGAGCTGCTAATCTCTTTAACCACGTGGTTGAAAAGGACTCTTTGACATAGGAAATTCTTCGAGGAAATTAATGTATATGTCGATAAAATAGAAACATTTTTTTCTTTATTATATATAAATTATTTCTTCGACAACGTGGCTCAATGACTAACCGCCGTCATTTCTCATGTCAGTTACCTTTTGAAGGAATAAAATAACCCAATTCCCAAATTCATCGGCGAAATAAACGGGCAGTTGGCCCGTAAGCTCTAATTCAAAAATCATCGATAAGGGACGATAGAGAGAAAATAGAAACTGGTCTGGAATTTGAGATTTTTTTTTTTATTGAATTATGCAAAGTGTACAATTTATGGGTTACATTGTTTGACATTGTGTGTTGAAATTTGAATGTAATTCGAATTTTTTGTTGAAAATAATTGAGAATTCTAATTAAAGTAAATATTAATTAGAATCCTATTTGAAATGCAATTGTGAAATCGTATTCAAGTTTTATTGCCAAATTCTAATTGAAGTTCTCATGGAAATCTGTTTAGAGTAAGAATTTGTGTTGGAAAGATTTGGAATGAACAAAAAAAAAAAAAAATATAATAATAGGCAAGAGTTTAGGTTGGAGACGAAGCGCCGCAACAGTAAATATTAACAACAAGGTCAGCGCTGCTGATAGTGCCGCTGTGACGCTTGGAGAATGGCACTGCGGCGCCACATGTTCTTCTCTTCGAGCTGTTTCGATCTCATTTTCCGTTTTGGACTCCGTTTTTAACATTATAATTTAACCACAACTCTATGATAAGGGTTTGGACGTCGCCCTAATTGTTTCCTAAATATAGTTGGATCTTCATTGTATTTTACAACAAGTTAGGAGTTGTTAGACAAATCGTAAATACATATTCTTTGTATTCTTTAATAAAATCTCCATTCTCTATAAAATTATTTTATTCTTGCGTTCTTGTGCTCTTTACATCATATTGTAACTTAATCTTTTATTTTTCAAAACAAATCGGTATTAGAGTATTCCAAATTTCATAACAAGTGCTATTAGAACTTTTGGTATTGAAACTCTTGGGAAGATCGAGGTTTTTTCGTGATGGTAATAATGAAGTATGATATTCTGTTATTAGATCACAATAACAAGATTATCTTTGTGACGGTAAAAACGCGAATAGCACTCGCTCATATGGATTTAAACGATGCGTTGTCGGGATTTGATAAGATGTCCACAACTTAGATTATGGATGAGAAACGACGGAGGGATCAAAAGGCCTATTTCTAATACATCTTCATCTTCCCAATAATATTCTTCAGGATGTTTTGAAGGAGAAGTCAGCCACTGCATTATGATCAAAATTGAAGCAATTATGCATGACGAAGAGTCTTACTAGTAAATTGCATGTGAAACAGCGTCTATATTCTTATCGTATGACAAATGTACATCTCTTGAGGATCACCTAGCTGCTTTTAAAAAAATCGTCACTTATTTAGAGACATTGGAGCTCAAATATGATAAAAAAAAATACTTAGGATTGATTTTGTTGTGTTCATTGCCGGACTCATACATGTCTTTTAGAGACACGATACTATATAGTTGTGATACTCTCACAATCAAAGAAGTATACGATGTTCTATATTCAGATGAGAAGATGAAGCATCTTGTAGCATCTGGGGTTCATGAAGATGGTCTCATTGTTCATGGTGGTCGTTAGAGGGGCAAATCAAAATCTAAGTTCAAATTTTGTAATTATTGCAAGAAAAATGGGCACTTGATAAACGATTGTTATAAGTTGCAGATTAAATCAAACTCAACTATAAATCAACAATCAGAAACTTTAGGGAAATCGAGTATTGTAGAAAATCATAGTAGTAATAGAAAGCTTCTATATATATATATATATATATATTTGACAACAACTCTAAACCTGATGAAGTTTGGATTTTGGATACAGTTTGCACTTTTCATATGTCACCCAATCGGGAATTATTTTCAACATATGAAGAAATCTCAAAAGGTCTTATGATGACCGGTAATAACACACCTTGTTCAATATTTGGTATTAGTTGGGTCAGAATAAATATATTTGATGAGACGATTATAATACTTGATGCAATGAGACACGTTCCAGATTTGAAAAAAAAATCTTATCTCCTTAAATACCCTTAATTCAAAAGGGTACATGTATATTGTTGAAGGTGGAGCTCTAAAAGTTATCAAAGGCTAATGAGACATAGAAAATTCCAATTATATATCTTATAGGGTGATACGGAATTTTTGAGTAATCAACATATTTTAAGAACTCAGGTGGATTTAGAGTTGGCTTCTGTACCGTTAGAATCTAATTTAGGGCTTCGTTTAAGAATACATCTCATCCATCTTGCCACCATTATCGATTGTGTTATCGTATTCAATTGCTAGAAATAGACCCATTTTTTGCCATAAGGTTCCACATATGTACAATTTTACTGATTTTGTTGATGGTTTGAATGCGCTTAAAGGTGTTGATTCTAGCCAATATTCTTCTTTTAATGCATTCAGTTGTGATTCTGTTCTGTTACATGGCTTGTTTTAGCCTTGTTTGATAGTAATTAGATCACTTTTGCCCCTAGTTGGACTAGTAGATGTGGAGAATATTTCCAATTGTAATTGTTGGTGGAGAAGCTTTGTTTGTGTTTTTCATTGAAGGGTTTAAATTTATTCATTGCAGTGGAATTTATTTTCGGTGGAGAATTTTTTTTTTTTTTTTTAAATTTTGTTCATTGCAATATAATTCGTATCAATATGGAGATTGTTAGAATTTAAGTGTGGCCCGAGTTCTTTGTTGAAGATAATTGAGCATTCCAATTAAAGTGCACATTAATTCAAATTCTATTTGAAATGTAATTGTGAAATCATATTCAACTTTTCTTGGCAAATTTTAATTGAAGAAAACTTTGACTCCCATTCTAATTAGTCCAGGACCAAATTAATTAAGTTTTTGTCTTCAATTCCTCAATGCTTTCAAAGGATGCAATTTAGTCTCTTGGATTTCCAAAGATTAAAATTTTATCCCCAAATTGCAAAATTTTCTCCAAGTTTATCCTTCTTGATCAATTTTCGATCTGATCTCGAGTTTTTCCCTAACATAAGAAAACACAAATAATTAAGTATCAATTTCATAATAAGTATGAATTTTACACTTACCAACTTCCTCCAAAAATTCTATTACACGGAAAAATAAAAAGATGTCAACTCTTTCTGCATTATTTGACATGACTAGGCAAAAACCGTGCATGCACATTTACATCACAAGGAACTTAAAACTAAAGACAAAAAGTAAATGAATTTCTTGGAGAAAAGAGATATTTGAAGAATCTTTGCTAATATGTGTGTCATATATTATGGCGTGATTTCGAGAATATTGGTCAATGATAATTGAAATACTTTCATAATTTGTTATCTTAAGGGATAAATCACATATCGAATAAAGATGAAAATATAGATATTGATATAATGGTTTGAGCTACTACTTGTAATAAAAAAGATGAAACATCAAGCCTTAATATCATATCAGAGTACATTAAGTTCAAATAAGCAATTTGATCTGATTAAGACTAAAAAAAGTAAACACATGAATTCAAGATTGATTTGTTTAAACAAGTCACCATCTTACGAAAATATGTTAAGAAATAAATATCACATTGAATAATGATGAAAATATAGATCAACACAAAAAGGTTTGGATTACCCTTCTTAATAAGATTGATATTTCAAGAAGAAATCTCAAATCTAAACCTCAAATCTTAACATGATTTCGTCAAATGTCATCAACATATATTAATTTAAAACATTACGGGCAACAAATTCAACACCTTCAAATTCAAAATTCCGATATGTTTTAATGTATCCCACTAATATTTTTTGAATAAACAATAGAGACTTTAAGAGTAAATTGTTTCAATAATCACCCAACTTATGCCATGGTCATAGACTACTCACTAAACTTTAAAGTGTTTCACAATGTTCACTGAACTTTGTCCGTTTTCACTCCGTCTATCACCCTCAAAAATTCTTTTCATTATTCGCTGACGTGGTTAACAGAAATCTGACGTGGCAAGTGGCAAGTTACGATCGTTAAAAAAATGACAACTCAGCGAAGCCATTGTTTCATTACTCATCCAACTTGCACTAGTCATAGTTTACTCATTCAACTTCAAAATGCTTTCCAATGGTCACTCATCTTTGAGATGTTGCACTATATTCATGATCCGCTATATTTTGTTCTCTTCATTCCTAATGTTCGAACAAAAATTCCACGTGGTAAGTTATCAATGTTAAAAAAAATTGCAACTCCACAAAACTTAACTCACCAAAATCATCATACTCCACAAAACTTAACTCACCAAAATCATCAAATATGAAACGGGACTTCCTCTGCCCCCATCAACTTCTTTAAAACCCAATAAAGCGTCCCCAATAATTCTTTTAGAAATATCATTTTTCTAATTCGAACGTTTACTGTAAAAAAAATAGGTTTCAATCTGAAACTCTGAAACATAACTTGTTTGGGGACACTTTATTGGATTTTAAAAAGTTTATGAAGTGTGGAAGTCGCGTTTCATATATGGTAAACGTTCCAATCAAACAAGTTATACTTCAGAGTTTCAGCTTCATATTGAAACCTATTTTTTACAAAGTAAATGTTCGAATTAGAAAAATAATATTTCTAAAAGAATCATTGGGGACGCTTTATTGGGTTTTAAAGAAGTTGATAGGGCCGTGGAAGTCACGTTTCACACATGATGATTTTGGTGAGTTAAGTTTTGTTGGGTTGCAAT